TGTCTCTCCAGCAAGTGCATGTACCCTATGGCAAAAAAAAAAAAAGAGAAAACTTAGGAAAAGAGAACTACCCAGTGGGGCCCGGCTATACCACAGTCCTTTTTTCTCTATTTCTCCATCCCGTCATAGCTCTGGGCTTGTGCGTGCACCTGGTATGTTTTCAAGCCACGCAGGCTGGGACCCAAGCTCCATCCAGTCCTGTGGGATTCAGCTTCCTCTGCAGGACTTAACCACTGTGCCATGAGTTCTCTCTGTCCTAATACATAAATAATACATTTCCTAGTTCTCTGTGATATGGATGAAGCTGAGGCTTAAAAATGTTAAGCAACCAGGACCAGTAGTTGGTGTAATGGCTATGTCTCTGGACTCCCATGTATTCGACTGCGGTTCGAGTCCTGGACCCGTTGGCTTAAACTCAGGCCAGGTGCATATGTGTGCTAGCGCGTCCAAGATGCCAAGAGGAGAAGGGAGGAGAGGGGATTGAGGTGTAGTCATCCTCCCTGGGGGTGATTTCTTACTTTCTGTCTCCCTGTCTCTCACTGTCTTTCTGGCGAGCACATACATCCTATAGCAAACCCCCCCCCCCCCCAAAAAAAAAAAAAGAAAGAAAGAAAAACCCCAGACTGGAGAACAAAAAGCCTATGTTCAGGTCTGGGCTTCGATTGTCCTACACCATGCCCTGTACAATAAGAAGCCATAATATGTGGTACTCATGGTTTGGAGATCTAGGTGCTTGAAGATCTTTACAGTTTCACATGGTGAGTGTGGTCCTGTGGTAAGGTTCCACCCTGGTGTACAATGTACATCCGTATTCATTAAATAGTTGCCAGATAAACAGTGTTTCACAATCTGATACCTGTTCATAAAGTAGGTCTTACACTGCCACACATTCATAATTCTTTGTCACCATGGTTAAGAAACAGATAGGGACCAGTAGGTGATGTAATGATTAAGGCACTGGACACTTCCACATAGCTGACCACGGTTCAAGTCCCTGACCTGGCAACTTGATTTCTCTTTCTTTCTCTTTCTCTCGGGTGAGCTCATGTGCCCTATAGCAAAGTTTAAAAATTATAATAATAAAAAAAAAATTAAATAGTTGTTTTTTAAAAAATAAAGAAACACATATAGGCCCAGCCCTGGCAGTATAGTTGTAGTACAGTGTTCTGCGGTGCTAGAACCAATACAGAAGATCAGGGTTTAGTTCCTGGGCCAGCTTGTCCATGTCAAATACATCCATAATCATGGCTGGCCAGAAAGGTTTGTGATATGAGACTCTGTTAAGGATGCTTTAAATAAACTTTTTTAAATAAAAAAGAAAAGAGGGTCCAGCAGGTGACATAGTGCTTAAGGTGTTGAGCTCCCACATCGCCAACTGTAGTTTGAGTCCCAGATCCCAGCAGATTGAAAATCATGCTGGGCACATTTTTGTACATGCCCAAATTGCCAAGAGCAGAATACAGAAGAAGGAATTGTAGTGGGGCCACCGCCCTGGGTAGGTGATTTCTCACTTTTCCCCTCTTTGTCTGTCTTCAGCAAGCACATGATGCACCCTATGGCAAAAACCCTATGGCAAAAAAGACAGACTCATGTTCAGTGATTGTGTTTTTCTAAAGTCTTGTGTGTGATAAGAGAGAGGGTTGTTTTTTTTGTTTGTTTTTATATAATTTTGCCAGAGGACACACGCACACACCAGAGAGAAGGAGAAGAAAAGGAGAGAAAGCACCCCCAATGGAGCATGGTCATGTCACAATCCCTTCTCCATATCTCCATCCCAGCAGGATTTGGGTCACACGCCTGGCATGCTTTTTAAGCCACTGGGGCCAGGATTCAAACCGCAGTCACCCATGTGGAATCTGACTCCCATAATCACTAGGGAGCTGGCCCAAAGAAAGGTATTCACTGTGTCACCATGTTGCAGTCCACCTGGCCCAGGCTCTCAGCTAGCCGGAACTACAGAACGCGCCACTGTGCCAATCCTGTTTAGGTTGGTTTGGACACCAAACCTTGGTCTTCCATGCAGCCCATACCTCACACAGTGGCACCTTGTCCTCCTACCTACCACTAGCACCACGTGGCTGGATCTCACATTTTATTAATTGCCTTTTCCTTCATTTTTTGGATGTATTTTAGTGTATTTGTATTGGTTTTAAAGTCCTGGGACATTTTTGGTTTTTTCCTTTTATTTATTTATTTTAGTTTGCTATATGGCATGTGCACTCACCAGAGACAGGAAAAAAAAAAAGGGAAAGTGAGAAATCATCCTCCCAGGGGGATGGTGACACCTCTGTCCAGCTCTATTCTCTTCTCAGGATTTTGGGCACGCATACATGCCCGTCATGTTTAAACTCCAGACTCGAATAGCAAAGTTGGCTGTGTAGGATCCAGTTGCTTTAACCACCATACCACCTTTAACCACCACTGGCTTGCCTTTTTTTTTTTTTTTTTTTTTTTTTTCCTATTAAAGAGATTTTTTACTTTTTTTTTTTTTTTTTTTTTTCTCCAATTAGAGAGATTTTTGCTATAGGGCGCTTGTGCTCACTGGAGACACAGAGACAAAAAGCGAGAAATCACCCCCTGGAGGGAATGGGCACACGTGCCCACATGCCTGGCGTGAGTTTTAAGCTGCTGGCTCTGGAATTCAAACTGGTATCGATGATGTGGGAGTCCAGCAATGTAACCATTACACCATCTGCTGGTCCCTTTTTAAAAGTTTATTTCAATTAATGAGAGAGCTCCAAAAGGGCTCTCACACGCATGATCCACCCCTAAGCCTCAGCTAGCCAGCATCATGGGCACATGCGCCTGGTAACGTCCCTCGTGGGTCCCACGTTGCACAGCATTGTGTAAGCACTGTGCCTCCGTCTGACCCTGGGCGTTTATCACGGGCTCAACATGTTTTGTTTTCTTTTAAAGACGTGGCCCTATCATGTCATAATCATCCTGTCTCAGCCCCCAGCTGGGACCACAGGCACATTCCACCATGCGCAGCTCTTTTTAGACAATGTCCGCCTCCATTGCCTGGGCCAGCCTTGAGCTTGTGATCCTCCTGCTTCAGCCTTTAGGTTAGACCAGTAATTTAATCCAGGCCTCTGTGGTGAGCACATGTGTCCTATGGCAGAAACCCATAGGAAGGGGGGACGTTGCTTACTAGAATCCACCCAGCAAGCTGTTGGTGGAGTTGGCTCCCTCAGCACCCCGGGCTCCACAGATAGGAGTTGCCGGAATGATACACGGTACATCTTTTCTAGGAACTCGCAGAAGGTTACTCTTGGCCTTGTGTGTCCTCAGTCATTTTTTACATGGTTGATATCAGCCCAAGGAAATAGAAATAAGATGGCTGAGGACTTACTTAATTCAATCTGCAGCCTAAGATCACAGGAACTCCTCCAACGTGGGTGTCTAATAAAAGCCACAGGCCTGTGAAGGTTTTTCCTCAATTGAAACTTCCCCAGTTTTCCTCCTATCATCCCACATCATCTGATGGATTCGTCATGTTTGCAAAACACGGCTTCCCAGGGATTTTGTGGGAGCCACTCAGGCTCACAGAAGGGCCAAAGCATGTGTTATTATAAATCAGAGTATGGACTGTCAGCAGCCCTCTGTGCTGGAGCACTGCTGTGTCAAATTAGTGAATTAATAAAGACATAAAATATGTATTCTACAGTATTTAAAATGTAAGATACTGGGACCAGCAGGTGGTATACTGGTTAAGGTGCTGGATTCTCACATGACTGACCAGGGTTTGAGTCCTGGACCTAATGGTTTGAAAATCACACGAGGTGCGTATATGTGGAGTGAGCAAAATCTCAAAAGGAGAATTGAGAAGGAATTGTGGATATAGCCATCACCCTGGGGTAGTGGATGTCTGTCTCTTTCTGGCAAGCACATGTGCCTTATGGTAAGCAAAAAAAAAAAAAAAAAAAGGTAAGGTACTATTTCCTAGTCTTCCCCCCCCCCAAATTTCTTAGGGCTTTTTTTCTCTGTGGTTTTCTCTCCTGTCTTGGAATAGTACCCAAGGGCTAAAGCACATGATCTGCAGGTGATTGGTACCATTTCTTAACTCCTACTTGAAGAAATTGAAGAAAATCCCTTGGATGTTTAAAAGTTTGCCTCAGCTGTATCATATTAACAACAGAAGAGGGCTAAGAGTCTGAATTCATCATTCTAAGTATAATCGAAGGTCACTAGATAGAGGGTGGCCAGCCCTGGGCACTTTCCAGGTGTTTAGGAAATTCTTGAAGATGGATCAGATAGGATAACTGTAAGATGGCTGCTGAGCCATCAGTCCAAAAGTTTAAAAGTAGTTTTTCAGAAGGCAAAGAGATAGGAAGGCCAGCAGGTGGCATGAAGGGTTTGAGACTTATACCTGGAGGCTTGAGAAACACATGGGTTTCATGTGCAAAGGAAAATGGAGGAGATTCCAACTCGGCTATCTACCCTGGGGGGGTTATTCCTCACTTTCTCTGACTTGCATTGGAAAACTAAAAAAAAAAAAAAAAAAAAAAAAAGGCCATTAAGAAGTAGAGAGAGGGACCAGCAAGTGGTGTGGTGGTTAAGGCGCTGAACACTCCCACTTGGCCGACCGTGGTTCAAATCCCAGACCTGGTACCTTGCTTTCTCTCTCTCTCTCTCTCTCTTTTTCGTCAAATTAAAATAAATGAATGATTTTTTTTTTTTTTAAGAAGTAAAGAGAGATAGGAAAGAAAACACTAATTGTTCTGGATCTCCTTGGTTTTTTTTTTTTTTTTGAGAAATTTTTGCCATAGAGCACATGCCCTCACCAGAGAGAAAGTGATAAATCACCCCGCAGGAGGAACAGCCACCCACAATCCCTTCTCCATTCTCCTCTTGGGATTTTGAGCACACATGCACACATGCCTGGGCGTGAGTTTCAAACCACTGGATCCAGGGCTTGAACCATGGTCAACCACATGGGTTTTATCTGAAATCTTCTTGATCCATGCTCAAGGACTTAACCTCTCAATTCTGTTTTCCAGAGAGATGGATGCCCAAAGATTGTCAATTTGGGGAGCTCTAAGACAGATCTCTTCTATGAACGCAAAAAATATGGCTTCAAGAAGAGGTGATTGGTGGGTGGCCCCTCCTTCCCCCATCACACTGCTGCAGCTGCCAGAAAAGACGCCTCCTACTACCAGCAGAAGGGAACAGAGCCCAGAGCATCACCAGAATCGCCTGCCAAGTGCTGGCACCTTGCCACCTTTCTTTTGCCCTCACCCAGACATGGTAGAAATGGATAAGGATGCCGCATTGAGCACTTGGGCAGACTGGATCAGAAGTTGATTAGTTCATGGTTTTTCTCGAGTTCGAAAAGCAAGATTCTGTTTTCCATACCAGTATACTCTCTTCACCAAGAGCTTCTCAACAGGAATACCATCGTCGTAGTCCTCTTGTTTGAGGAACTGATGATGAAGCTACCCATCATGAACCGTGTTCTCGCAGCAGTTCTGATAGCGCTTGTCCTTGAAAAATCTCCAGCGTGTAGTGGGGAGCTCTTGGAACAACAAACGTGGGCCTTTCCTCTCGTAATGTTTAGCCGGTGGTGCTGGTTTCATGTTATTTTTCTTCTGAAAGATTGGAAACCCTTTCTGTGCTAGTGTTTTAATAAAGTTGGCGTTTATTTTCTGGTAGTCAGTCAGCTTTCCCATTTAACTCTTTGGGACTATATTTCAGTAACCCAAGAATTAGTGATTGGATAGATGAAGTTAAATAAAATAATTCTTTTTTTAAAAATTGTGATTGGAAATAGTAGGATTCATTAACCATCTTGTTCTCTTATTGCCACGAAAAGGAATTAAAAACCAGGCAGACCTTTCACTCCAGGTGAACCAAAGCCATTTTTAGAAACTTAACTGTTTTTCCCTCCCTCCTGTCCACCTTTACTTTTTTTGGGGGGTGGGGGAGGTTTGCTATACGGCGCGTGCGCTCGCCAGACAGACAGAGATAGGGACAGAAAGCGAGAAATCACCCCCCAAGGGGGATGGCCATGCCACGATCCCTTCTCCATTCTCCTCTCGGGATCTTGGGCACGCACGCACACGTGCCCGGCATGAGTTTAAACCACTGGGTCCAGGACTCAAACTGCGGTCAACTACATGGGAGTCCAGCGACAGCCATTACTCTAACTGCTGGTCCCTCCACCTTTACTTTTGAACAGAAGATATGGCTTCCATTAATGATGGAGAGAATCAGATAATTAAATCAAACTGATGAGTTGGGAGGACCCAACTTTGTTTTGTAAAGTGCGTATGTACTCACACTAAGAGAAGGTTTCATTTTGAGAAGGCATTTTTTTAAAGAGGTTTTGCCGTGGGGCACATGAGCTCGCCGGAGATAGACACACAGTGAGAGGGAAAGTGAGAAATCACCCCCCAGGAGGATGACTCCACTGCAGTCCCCTCTCCATTCTTCAGGGGTCTGGGGCGTGCACACCCACGCACCCAGTGTGATTTTCAAGCTACCGGGTCCAGAACTTGAACTATAGTCAGCAATGTGGGAGTCCAGTAACATAACCACTATACCATCTCCTGGCCCCAAAATTAATAGAATTAAAAAAAAAAAAGTGTAAAGGTAGGCAGGTGGCATGGTGGTTGAGGTGCTGGACTCCCATGTAACAAAAAGAGGTGTCAGGGAGAATCCAGGCATTAGCCCAAGCTTACACTGCAACTTAGTAGCAAAGCCAAAGAATGTAAATTGGGCTTCTTGTCTGAGGATTTGGCTTTGGTCACCAAAACTTGATTATTTAAACATATTTGAGTGTCCGAAATTGTATTAAGATAACCTCTGCCTTCAAGGAATTGAATAGGGGCCAGCAGGTGGTGTGGAGATAAAGGCAGCAGATCCCACAAGGCCAGCCACACAGTTCAATGTCTGAGACCTAGCAGCTTGGAAAACATCTAGTAGGTGCTCATGCATGCCTAAAATCTCAAGAGGAGAGTGGAAAAGAAATTACAGTTTGGCTATCATCATGGGTGTGTGTGTGTATGTGTGTGTGATTTCTTCCCAACAAGTGCATAAGCCCTGTAGCAGACAAAAAATTACTCGTCTTTTTTTTTTTTTTTTTTGTCGAAGGTGGAGAGAGGGAGGGAGGAAAGGAGAGAAAGTAAGAAAGCAAGCCACCCGGTCTGAGACTTGAACTACACGAATGGCCATGTGGAATCCAGCCACTTTAACTATCTCTTGCCACCTGCTGGCCCCCATGTGGCAATTATTTTCCTTTTTTTTTTTTTTTTTTAAAGCTTCGCTATGAGGTGTATGTGTTTGCTAGAGAGTGGGAAAAAGAAAGCATCCCACAATGCCTTCTCCATTCATCCCACAATGCCTTCTCCATTTTCCTCTCAAGATTTTGGGCATGCATGTACACACACTTGGTGTGTTTTTTAAGCTGCTAAGTCCAGGACTCAAACCACTTAGCCCACATTGCAGTTTTTAAATTTATTTCTTTAATGACTGACAGATACCTCCAACAGAGTCTTCATGACTCACCCCCAGCTTCAACCACCCAGGATCATGGGAATGGGCACACTAGGACATGAATCCAGGACCTTCCCATACGGGGCCAGTTGCATTACCACTGCACCACCATCTGACCCCACACGTGGCAATTTAATCTTTAAACACAGGATTTATTATATGTACCTTTGTTCCCCCAAAAAAATTGTAATGAATCTGTACTTGAATTCTGATCTGCTATTGGTCTTTAGCAAATCATTTAGTCTGTGTTTCTGGATAATGATGCTTACCTTTCAGGTTGTGAAGATTGCATCTGACTTTGTAAGCACCTGACCCTTACTGGGGTGGTTTATATAAATGGTAGTATTTTTTACAGTTGCCTCTAGATCAGAGTTTAATTTCAGTCCTGGCTTGTTGGTCCTGTACATGTCCCCCTCCCCCCTCAAGGGTTTTTCTCACATCACTTCTGCTGTCCTCTCGATTATGCAGTTGAGGGGACATTGACATTCCTTGTACACTCCTCATCTTTTCTTTGGCTGTTGCCTTTGCTTGAAATACCATTCCATCTCGTATCAGCCACGCAACTTGGTACCTTGCTTCTGGGCTCCTGACAGCTCATGAATGCTTCAGATGCACCACCCCCACAACTATTTCCCTCACTTGCGTTATTTTCATGTCTAGTAGGTACATGTAACAAAAACAGAAGTTCACGAAACTATTGATTGTGTGTGTTGCATCTGATATTTTCATTAAATTCCATTCTATTCTAGAATTTCTAACTGAAACACTAAGTCAAGTAATTTTATAACCCCAGTAATAGAGGACAACGCAGAGTTTAAAATGAACTGGGACCAGCAGATGGTGTAATGATTACATCACTGGACTCCCATGAAGTCGACTGTGGTTCGAGTCCTGAACATGGCGGCTTAAAATTCACACCGGGCATGTGTGTGCATGCCCAAAATCCCAAGAGGAGAAGGGATTGTGGCATCGCCATCCTCCCAGGGAGTGATTTCTTGCTTTCTGTTTGGTGAACGTGCTCACCCTGTAGCAAAAATCTCTAAAAAAAAAAAAAAAAAAAAACTGAACTGGGGTCAGCAGATGGTATAGTGGTTAGGTTTCTGGACTCCCACAAGGCCAACCACAGTTCAAGTTCCAGACCTGGTGGCTTCAAAATCACACGGGGTGTGCATTCATGTCCAGGATCCTGGAAGGAGAATGGAGGAGAAGGGATTTCAGCGTGGCCATGTAGGGGGTGATTTCTCGCTTTCTCTCTCACTGTCTGTCTTTCCAGGGAATGCATGTGCCCAAAGGCAAAAACCTCTATTAAAAAAAAAAAAAAAGGAAAATAACATGGAACATAAAATCTTTGAACTCCGTTTGCCTCTCTCCCAACTGCAGGGGATGAATAGGCAAGGACTCAAACAATTACATGTTAAGTTGAACTTAAAAAGGGATCACAAACTAAGGAGTCCAGCAGAGTAACAAAATTGATTGAAAAGGGAGGGGTGTGAGAAGACTAGTCTAAATGGTATGTGATCCTCAGCTTTGGTGTCTGAGAAAAAAGGGAGTGTTGGGGCCCTTGGGGATCTGAGAACAGGCCTCTCTAAGAGACAACTGCTCTTCAACTCTAGGCAGTCACTGATAGCTTGAATGCCCAGTGTTGCCAGATATCCCGAATTTAGGACAAATGGCAACTTAACTCATACCCGGCACATGTGCGTGCGCGCCCAAGATCCCGAGAGAAGAATGGAGGAGAAGGGATTGTGGAGTGGTCATGCCCCCTGGGGGGTGATTTCTCTCTTTCTGTCTCTGTCTCTGTCTTTCTGGTGAGTGCATGCACCCTATAGCAAAAACCTCTCCAAAAAAAAAAATTTTTTTTTTTTTTTTTTTTTTTTTGCTATAAGGCATGGGCACTCGCCAGAAAGAGAAACACCGAGAAAAACCACCTCCTATGGGGATTGTCATGCTGCAATCCTTTCTCCATTCTCCTCTTGGGATTTTGGTCATGCATGTACACATGCTTGGCATGATTTTTAGTCAGCAAGTCAGGGACTCAAATAGTGGTCACCTATGTGGGAGTCCAATGACGTAAGCATTATGCCATCATCTGCCTTAATATTCCAATTTTTAAATATTAACTCACCCTTTTTGTATTTTAAGAATTTTTTTTTTCATTTATTATTCATTAATTTGACTACAGAGAGAAAGGGAAAGTGAGAAAGCAAGCTGCCAGGTCCATGGCTCCAACCTCATTCTACGATTTGGGAGTCCAGTGCCTTAATTACCACACCACCTGCTGGCCCTGCAAGTCACTTTTTTGGGGGGTGGGGAGAGGTTTTTGCCATAGGGTGCATGCGGCTCCCCAGACAGAGAGAGACAGAAAGCGAGAAATCACCCCCCAGGGGGGATGGCCACGCCGCAATCCCTTCTCCATTGTCCTCTCGGGATCTTGGGCACGCATGCACATGCGCCCAGTGTGAGTTTTAAGCCACCGGGTCCAGGACTCAAACCACGGTTAACTACATGGGAGTCCAGTGACATAGCCATTACACTAACTGCTGGTCCCGAGTCACTTTTATAAACTTAGTATGAGGGGCCAAAAAGTGGCATGGTGGTTAAGGGGCGCCGATGCCCCTGTGAAAGACTGCAGTTCAAGTCCCTGACCTGGCAACTTGCTTTCTCAATATTTTTTTCTCTCTCTCTCCTTCTCTGGTCAAATTAAAATTAAATTAAATTAAAAATAATTATTAAAAAAAAATATATAGTATGAGGGCCTGTGCAGATGGGGTGGTAGCGAAGGTGCTAGACTCTCACATGGCTGACCACAGTTCGAGTCCTGGGCCTTACTTTCTCACTTTTCCTCTCTCTCTCTGTCTCTTTCTACTGAGTGCACATTCTCAATAGTAAATTTAATAATAATAATAATAAATAACAATAAATAATCCTCCCCCAAAATTAGGATGTTGGGCTAGTAGGTGTCATGGAGGTTAAGGTGGCTGGATCCCACATGGCTGACTTTGTGGTTCAAACTCCCGACCTGGCGGTTTAAAAATCACATGGGCACATGTGCATGCATGCCCAAATCTGAAGAAGACAATGGGAAAAGGACTGTGGCATAGCCATCCCCGTTCGGGGGTGATTTCTGACTTTCCCTCTCTGTCTCTCCTGTGAGCACACACACTCTATAGCAAAACTTTAAAAAGACAAAAACTTAATATATTTGTATATTGCTAAGAAAATACATCCATTAGATGTGGAGTTTGGCCTGCCAATTAGTAGTTCTGGGACCAGTAGATGGCAAAATGGTTAAGGCATTGGAGTCCCACATAGCCAACTGCAGTTTGAGTCCTGGACCCAGCTTTTGAAACATGCTGGGTGTGTGTGTGCGTGTGCGTGCCCAAAATCCCAAGACAAGAATGGAGGAGAAGGAATTGTGGCATGGCCATGACCCCTCCGTGGGCGTGGGGGGGGGGTAACTTCTCGCTTTCTGTCTCCAGCAAGCACACATGCCCTATAGCAAAAATATCTCTCTCAAATAAAAAGGAATCCGGGAGCCAGCAGGTGGCATGGTGGTTGCGACACTGGACTCCCACATGGTCCACCGCAGTTCAAGTCCCAGACCTGGTGGCTTGCTTTCTCACTTTCCCTCTGTCTCTCCCTGGTGAGCGCATATTCTGTAAGCAAATTAAAAAGATAACAATATCAAATTAGATAAATATTAATAGTTCTTTAAAAACATAAAAGGAAACCAGTTATGTCCATCTGTTCCCAGTTACTCAGTTCCTTATCAATTCTATTCCCAGATGGCCTGTTTCTACCACCAAAGACAAATTGTTTTGTTTTGTTTTGTTTTGTTTTTTGGGGGGGTAGAGGTTTTCGTTGTAGGGCATGTGCACATGCCAGAAAGACAGAGACAGAGAGACAGAAAGCGAGAAATCACCCCCCAGGGGGGATGGCCACACCTCGGGATCTTGGGCACACATGCACGGTGGTCTGAAACTTGAACTGCGGTTGACTACATGGGAGTCCAGCAACATAGCTATTATACTAAATGCTGCTCCTGCACCAAGGATAAATTGTGACTTTCTTCAACACTGCTTTTCAATGTGTTAGGAAAAGACAGGCTTGCTCACCTGTTTACTAAGCTTCACAGTCTTGGTGAATAAATAGCAAGTCATTTGCCCTCAGCAACTAATCACCCTTTTCCAAAGCCAGTTTCTTTTTTTTCTTTTCTTTTCTTTTCTTTTTTTTTTTTTTTTTTTAAGGTTTTTGCTATAGGGTATGTACAATTACCAGAAAGATAGGAAAAAAGAAATCACCTCCCCCAAGGGGATGACCACATCACAATCCCTTCTCCTCCATTCTCCTCTCTGAAACTTGAGCCCGCATGCACACACACCTGCCCTGATCTGAGTTTAAGCCACTGGGTCAGGACTTGAACCCCCATGAATTACATGAGAGCCCAGCAACGCAACCATTACACCATCTGCTGGCCTCTCCAAAGCCAGTTTCTATTGTGACTGTTCAAAAGACTCAAACTGAGAAAATCTTTTCTTGGATAACAATACAAAATTTCTCACCCTGGCATGTGCTTACAAGAACACTACTGCTTCTTGAAAATTAGCTGGGACCAGTTATGACCAGCCTGACTTGTTACAGCATCGAAACATCTAGCATAACTTGCTTAACTCTCAGACAGGGGAGTTACCTCAACCTTCTCCCTCGGCACATCCTTACTTCTGAACCTCACCATTTTGAACAAGTGGTGTGTACCTGTCAGCCTATGATTACTTAAATGGGAGGGGCATCTGAGATGCTTGCGTAGGAATTTGGCTCACAATTAGGCCCTGGAAAGATGAAACCACACATTGGAAAGAGAACATTTTCCTTCTTACCACATAAAAAAAATGGAGACAGCAGTTAAGAAGACTGCTTTTATTTTTCCCCTCTATTTTACCTTTTCTTATTTGTATGCTAACCCTTTACCCAGAGCTCCTGCTGGCCAAGGAGGCTGGATTTCTCAGTTGGGCTGGTGTGTTTCCAACATTGCAGGAGAGATTGCAATAAAAGAAGAAATTCAAAGAAATGCAAGGCCTTCCTCCTGATTCAGCCCACACTCCCTCAGCCTGGAAGGAATGGCAGATGTCCATCCCTTTATCTACCAATATTCACTCTGTCTCTCCTTATTAAGATACCCTAAGTGGACTCGTTGCAGTTTACCTTCACCTTTCTCAGAGGTTTCCCAAGAAAATACACATCAAACTGAGTAGAGTTTGGTCAAAGTCGTGTTTTTTTTTTTTTTTTTTTTCTGTCTAGTATAGGGAGCCTACACTTAACACTCGCTGAAGAGAGACAGAGATACAATCCCTTCTCCACTCTCTAGCAATTTTGGATTTTGGACTTAGAGGTACATGTATTTTTTAAGGATTATTTTATTTAACTTTACGTATTTTTTAAATTTGACTGGAGGAGAGAGAGAGAGACAGAAAGTGAGAAGGCAAGCCGCCAGGTCCCAGACTCCAGCTTCGGTCGACCATGTGGGGAGGCCAATGCCCTTAATCACCACGCCACCTGCTGACCCCATGCACACATGTTTTTGTTTTTGTTTTGTTTTGTTTTGTTTTGTTTTTGCACATATATCTTTAAGATAGCATGTATTTGAGGCAGACTTTGTAAATACTATCATATTTCATCTCCGCAGGATCTCCATTTTATAGATGAGGGAACAGGTTCGGCGATGTAAAAAGAGATGTTGCATTAAATCACCATCACACAGCAGGTGGCAGAACTGGGAAGTAAACCTGATTTTACCCCTGCATCTAATGAGTAACTACAAATACCGGCAGCCCTTGCCGTGCCCCACTGCGCAACCACACACTTCCAAGCGCCCAGTACTAATGGCTCGACCCAAAGCCTAATCAGGCTGCCTCGCCCTCCTCCCCAACCAATGAGAAGGCTGTTGCTAGCAGCCGGCTATATTTTTAGCTTTCTCTGCTCTGGAACCGTGCCGGTAGACAGTCTCTCCGCTGGGTAGAACTCGCTACGGGGAGGGAGGGGTTGGGGAGGGGAGGAGAGAGAAGGGGAGGGTGGAGCGAGCCAAGGCGGAGGGGGCGTGTGTGCGTTCCGTCACGAGTGACGCATAAGGCAAGTAGTCCCTGGAGGTGCCCCTGGGGTTAGAGCGCTCAGATCGTGGGGGATGGGGGCTCTCGGGAACCGACTCCCTCCCTTCTACCTGCCCGGGTGGAGATTGTCCTCCAGCTCCGAGTTCCTCTGCTAGACATGGAAAGTGCATTTAACCCCCCACGCCTCCGTTGCTCTCTGCCCTTGCCAGAAAAAGTGATCAAGGAAAAAGCAAACGCAAACTGTTCGTAGCTGGAAACTTTCGGATCTCGTCACCCCACGTGGGTTCGGCGGCTGCCGTTGGCCCGGAACCCTCTGGAACAAGAATGAAGGCGGGCGGAGAACTGGGGAAGGGGCAACTACGAAAGAGCAGGGAGAGGACTTCACACGCAACCCCCGAGGAGCCCCGGTCGTCGCCGTCTGGCAGTCCGCCTGTGACCTCACCCAGGCACAGCCCTTCCTGTCCCCCAACTCTGTGCCCCGCAGTCACAAAGAAGGAGAGTGGCCCGCGTGGCCAGAGCCCGCCAGGAGGCCCGAGAGCGCGGGCCTGGCGAGCTCCGCGAGATTGCTCCGCCTCCCGACTGTCGGATGTGCGAGCCCGGCGCCCCTTGCACTCGTGGGCGCCACCCCACGCCGGAGGGGCTGTCATTGGGTAGACTGGGGCTCTCCTGGGATCCACGTAGGGGTGGTCCGCAGAGGGGCCTCGCCCCATCCAGGCAGGCCGGGCGGTGCTCGTGCGCCTGCGCGGAGCGGGCGCTGACCCTCTGCCAGCTGCGAGGGAACCCGGCGGCGAGTGGGAGGCTCATTGTGGCGATCGACTCGTTTTCTTGGCTGTCCAGTCGCCTCTTCCCCCAGCAGTGTGCCCCAGACCTTCCCTCACCCTCTCGACATTACACGTCCCCCGACGAGGCACGAGGCGCTCGGAAGACTCAGGCCAACCCGGGTTCGGGTCCAAAACGTTTCCTGAGCTCACGGGTCTCCTCAGCTCCCCCGCCTGTAAAGAGACCGTAGCTCGGACGGTGAGAGCCCGGAGCTGGAGGGGAGTCCAATGGCCTCGCGGAAACGGTCTGGGCAAACGTGTGCTTGTGGGCGCCGGGGCAGGTGCAGGGCGGAAGACAGCGAGGAGAGCCCCCGGAGGGCCTGGTGATGCGCCTCCCCGCGAGTCCTCTCCCAACTCGGCTCGCGTGAGCACCGCGGGCCAGCCCTGCGGTGCACGGTCTACCGGGAAACACACGGAAAGCACCAACTCGGAGTGGTTTAGAGCATGAAGCACTAACTGCGGCGCGACGCCGCGATGGGGAGGGGAGAGCCCAAGAGCCGGCTGGGGGGCGCAGCGCCCCAAAAGCGGCCCGAGGCTGGAGCGGAAGGAGCGCGCTCCCGCCGGAAAGTAGTCCCGGCCGCGCCGGCCCCGCCCCGCCCTTGCAGGGCGGAGGGACGCATCACGCAGGGGTGGGGAAGCCGGATCCGTGCGCGGGGTTGCTAAGGGTGAAACTTTTCATTGACTTTGCTCACTTCGGGCCGAGCGCGGGAAGGTGCGGGTCGTCGCGGGAGAG